GAATAACCTAAGAAACCTAAGAAACAACCTAAGAGACCTAAGAAACCTAAGAAACCTAAGAAACCTAAGAAACCTAAGAAACCTAAGAAACCTAAGAAACCTAAGAAACCTAAGAAACCTAAGAAACCTAAGAAACCTAAGAAACCTTCAGAATCAGAGTCAGACTTTGAGCGGTCAGAGTCAGACTTTGAGTGGTCAGAATCAGAGTCAGAGTCAGAGTTGGAGTCTAGGCTTCCGGCAAAAAGGTTAGTGACGGAGGTACTATTAAAACAGCTTTATTTTCTTATTCATGGATACTTGGATTTTTGTACACCCGGGCGTCGATAATACATGGTATTATGAAATTCAAAACTACTGTTTGTCAGTACACACCATAAGCAATCTTCGCTAACTGGAACACTGAGCAGCGTGTAGTTTAACCGCGGCTTCCTTCATAACAGTCACCGCGTCCGCTCCACATTTGGCCGTCAACTCTGCCTTGGCCGATTCATCCAGTCGTGTGGCAGTCAGCTGTAAGGCTCTGTAATGGTGCACGGAAATTCGTATCGAATGGTGATACTATCGATGTCACGACGATGCGCAAAAAGACTGTTTTCTGCAATGGTTAAAAATTAAAATACAGCCGCACGCTGGTTCGACATACAATGGACTGAATTATTAATTTACAGAACACTGCTCTCTGCAGCTCGTATGCAGTAGTTTTACAGTAGTCTTACTCGTAGAAATTACGTTTCCCGGGCGGCAGCCGGTGATATACGCCAATAAGCGGTGCGGTGTACTAACACGTCTGTAGCCGGCAAAAAGGTTGACAGGCTCATGGCTCACGGATCAAACCTTTTTGCCGGCAAAAATGTTTGTTAACTTTTTTGACGGGCGAAATGGCTCACGATCTTCGATCATCGTAGCATAGGCGCCAATGTGCAGATTCTATGCGATAACGTACTGAGATATTATATCCATAAAATGGATTTTGTTTTGCATGTGTGTTAGCGCTGTACAGTACAGTTGCTACATACCATATCTTGGCCAACCGGTTATGCAAAGCAAAAATTTTGACAACAAATTATCGGGCAAATTTTAGTTAGATCAGCTCCTTAAACCGTTTGTGAGAGGTATACAGACGTTGGAATTATTGTATTGTTATCGCTACGAAGGCTGGTTGACTGAGCGACTGCTTTGTGGCACGTATACTCAGGGAAAGGCACGGAAACCGGTATCAGATTTGGTGAAAACCACTCTCATTGAATAAATAAATACTATAAACATACGTATCTGCGTAAATCAAAAACAGGTGCTTCCTTATATTGTAATTTGCATTCTGTAATTAAAATACTGAAGATTTCTGTCGTTTTCTGAATTAACATCAACGCTGTGCGAGACTCGTAAACACTGAACAGTGCCAAGGTGAAGGCTGAGAAGTGAGAAGCGTAGGTCCCGTGAGCCATCCTGCCCGGCAAAATGGTTCACGGTTATATGCGCAGACTGCGCACTATACAGTCTGCAATAACTGTACAGAGCTGGAAGCAAGAATTTGCATTCTCATAATATGGCTACACTATTTGTCCGCGGTAGTTGATCAGTCAGCACTCAGCAACCGTTCTCCTTTTTCACGAGCTACCAGAGCACTGTGTAACTCTTGGTAGTTATTCATTATTTATAATCACAATTTGTAATTATAAGCATACTAAATTTGCAAACGTGCTACAACTAATAGTTTGTAATTTTCAAAAGTGCTAAATTTTGTATAGTTCAGGTTTAAGTGGCCAGTTGTTACAAGGAAAACGTTGATACAATTGTCGTATACTCTAGTTTATTTATACCGTGCATGTACTAAAATACAATGTAGGACTAAATGGTCGCATAGCCCCATACCCAGCATTCTGTACGCAAGCGGTGCAGTGCACTTGTACGAAACGGATATTTTGAACTCAGTCGTACAGTGCACTGCGCTGCATTCGTACTGAATGTGGAGATATTGGGTATGCGACCATTTTGTCCTAAGCTGTACTTACTTAAATTCGTGAGCCTTCTTGCCCGGCACACAGGCTCACGATCGTGAGCCTGTGTGCCGGGCAGGATGGCTCACGCTTGTGAGCGAATGAGCGAGTGCTGGATTGGAGCATACCCGAGAGTATCGGTAGCTGCACAGTATAAATAAACTGTACGACGATTACACTGACGTGATCTTTGTAACAAATTGCCTGTAAGAGTTGAAACTATACCTAAATTCAGTATGTACATTTGTAATAAAAACACAACACAGCGACCAAGAATTACGCAGCGTTCTAATAGACGGTGTAAAGCAAAGAATTATGACCGACTAAAAATTATTACAGTATTAATCTGTATTAAGTAAATGCGATCTCGTGCTTCTAACTCTGTATTTATTTATTGGAAACTATATAGCGCCTATGTAACCGTGAGCCAATTTGCCGGGCAGGATGGCTCACGGGACCCAAGTTTCACTACGTGGAGAGTGGTATTGTTCACGAGTCAAGCGCAATGTTAACGAGTGCTGATGTTATGGAGAATTACAATTGGAATCTTCAATATTTTGATGACAGAACGGCAAATGAAAACATAAGGGAGGGCTTGTTTTTGGTTTACGCCGAGACGTCTGCTTGTAGTATTCACTTATCATTTCGATTATAATAGTTCCGCAAATTTAACAACACTTTTATGATAAATTTAATAACGCTTCCGAATTTTTTACTACGTAGAAGTATCTGTACAGCAAAGCAGTCGCTCACTCAGTCAGTCTTCGTAAGGATGATTTTCCAATACTCACAACGTCTGTTTACCTCTCATTAGCAGTCCAAACAGCTGATATGAAATCACATAAACTAATTTTCGGATAATTTTTGGCTTCGCATTTTAATTTTTGGCGAATTTTTGGCTTTACATTACCAGCTGGCGAAAGTACGTAGTATCTGGATTGTGTTGCGCTAACTCATATGCAGAACAGAACCGAATGTATTTACTTAATGCTTTATCGCATAAAATCTACACACTGGCGCTTCTGCTAAGATGATCTATGGTCGTGAGCCATTTCGCCCGTCAAAAAAGTTAACAAACTTTTTTGCCGGCAAAAAGGTTTATTTCGTGAGCCGTGAGCCAGTCAACCTTTCTGCCGGCTACACACGTCCTTCTCAAAACGGGGACGCTGTTCGTAGAAGTGGGCCCGGGCGCGATAGTAGCGGACGGGATGGATGGACAGCTGGCACATTTTGGCCTCCGCTATCCTCGCCTGCGCTTCGTAAAACCCGCCATCATCACGGTAGGCCGTCATCAGGGTATCACTAGCGCAACGCTCCTTAAACCCTTTCATGCACGAAGCTGTCATATTCGCCGCATTGCAGTAGCAAAAGCGTTGACTCAACACTTGTAGGTGAGAACTGTCCTTCACAATTACAGAAATTATTATTATCAGTTAAGTACATAGTACCAAATCAGTGTACTAGCAACAGAATCCTTCGATTTTACGCACAGTTTCCAAAACCCTGCAGTGCACCATTTTATGGCACGTAAAAATCAAATGGCCTCTATTTTAAACATCGGGGGAAACCAGTACCCACATAACATTCGACTGCGAAGATCTTGTGAAATAAAATGAATAGGATGAAAATTTTCGGAACATTGCAATGTAATTTGTTAATGCATGTACCCCGCCGTCGAAAAAGTAATATACTGTATGTTTTCATACTGAAACTAGTGCTGCGAACAGAGTCGCTAACATTCACCGGTAAAGCACTAATAGCTGAATTTTTCGTTGCAAGACTAATCTGTTACCGGCAGTAATCCTGTAGTCCTGTTGTGTCGCCAGAATTTCGGCCTCGGACATGGGAAATTGTGTGTATTCCACATCGGGAAGGGCCGCTTTACAGCGATCAGCCAGGTCATTACAGTTTTCACCGAGGGCCGTGCGGGCGCACAGCGTCACTGTGATGACCACGGAGAACGGCAACGGAGTGCTCATCCTTATAGCGCCTAATACGGCTTATGTATTATCCACTCAGAATAAACTTTTACGCCGTCGCGGCAGTCCAGCCTGATTCAGTCTTGAAATGGTACAAACCGGCGTCGGTTAGTAACACAGAAAACTCCTCCTATTCAGCACGTACCGGAAAGTGTATTTTACATTGCTGCGTGATAATCCGATTGACGGTGGTGCCGAGACATAATGCTGATTACTTTTTTTGACCGAATATCGAGCGAAACGGTGCCGGCAGCGTGCCTTGATTGAGATACAGTTGGTTTGGTTGCTGGTTTTAGTTTTAATTGTCCAGAGTTCGGGGATTATTCTGGCGACTGAGTACATAGTGCAAAATGCAGTCGTCGATGGCTGGATTTGAACGATAATTTTAACCCAATACAAACTAGTACTACAACAAGCAAAAGCTTTGTGCTAAATCATTTGGCGCATACAAGCGTTTTTCGCTACGAACCTATCAACTCAGCCCTGGCGATTTATGCGCATTGATGGCGTTTGGGTTAGTTTCCGCTTACTGATTTTATTATTACATTTTGAACGGCGGACCAACCGACCGATTTCCACATTTAATCGTACACTGTGGCTTGATAACTACGTACATATACGATTTCCGCCAAGCAGTATCCTGAAAAAACGTGGTTAACTGTTGATGGTAAGAAAACAACGAATGGTTATGAATCTTAACTGCAGTCTGCATATTACCCCGGAATATAACAACAGCGAGAAAAAGTGAGGTTTTCCTTTTAAAACACATTATAGAACTGCTTGGCCTGTTCAGTGAAGCTGCTATATCAACCTGGTGTTGCTTCTGCTTTATTAAACAGCCAAAACAATCCCAGCACAAGATACCATGCCTTATATACCAAATGCAAAGCTACAATTATTTTCGAAACATTTTCATCGAGCGAATGTACTGCCGCGGTATACCGGTTGTTTGTACGCTAAGATAAATCAGATTTCGTTGACTGAGGATAATACTTTATTCATTTGATTGTATTCATATCGCAGTACAACAGTACAGTACTCGTAGTGCTCGCAATCGTAGTACTCGTATAATTATACAGTAACACAATGTACAGTACGCTAGTATTTAAACCTATGCGAATAGTTTGGTAAAAAACTAGAACAGTTTTTAAAATACCGTAACGATCATTTCAGACTACGATACACCACAGTCGAACAAAATAAGAACTAATGTCGGATACAGCGAATAAAATAAGAATTAATGTCGGATACAGGATACAAGATCTCCGGTATGCTACACTTCATTTTTCAGGGAGATCCATTCCGAAATTGGATCTTTTCCCATAGCCATGTGACCCATGTCGATCAGCTAAGACGCAGCCAGCTGGCTACACCACAAGATTCAAAATAGTCAATCTGTTCAAGACGTGGCTTTCGGATTAGCACTTTGAATATTTCTGGACAAAACACTGTTCCGCTGTAGAATTTGTGATACTTTGCGGTGGTTGGCACGAAGTCAGCAAAAGCTGCTTGTAAAAGGTCATTGGCTGTCGGTGAAATCGGCCAGTGTTGAGAGGCCTCCTGCAATTCTTTCTGAACCGCCGTATAGTGGACACTGCTGTCTTGTCCCGCCAGTTCTTCGCTGCGGGCACGGCACCAGCGACTGAACGCATCGAGCGTCAAAGCGATTCCGGTGAGCGTTCCCGTCATCGTGGTTGTTGTGCAGCAGTAGATCCAGCATCCCGCTAACGATGCGAGCAGCTTCTTCGCTTCAGCTGGAGTGGCCACCAAGATTTCTACAAGAAATCCCTAAGTTATGGATTTATTCAGTAGGATGGTAACAGTATTACCAAAGACATTTAGCGACCGCGCAAAGTAAATAGAAGTGCGGCGGTTAACGTCTTTTGCAGGCCATCCAGTTTCCTAAATTCTAACGACGAGTTAAAATATTGTTATTCTTTACTTTAAAAGTTCTTTAACATTAAACATTGAGTGAAGTAACCATCATGTGCTTAAAAACCGAATAAGTATTGGCGTACGGTAGACAGGAAAATACTTTCTTAAACGATTAGGCGATAAGTTTCGAATCTTCTCAGATTGTCCTTCGAAGAATCTTAGCGTATGCCGGCTTACCCAGTGTTTCCCGAGTACCATCCTTCGTTTTCATCGTGCAGTAGATGTGCAGATTGGAAACCGTTGGAAACAGTTCAAGTTCTTTTACAAGGCAGATATCCACAGTTTTGTAGGATAAATAATGTTTTATCGGAAGTTCCATCTGATGGATAACTTCCATGGCCGCGTAAGTGTGACTGTTGTAGAATTGTTTTACAAGGAGGCTTTGCGTATTGGCAGCAGTATACTTGAGTAACCCATCAACTAAATACACATTCATGTGTTTCGGTGATACGTAGCCACGAGGAGCATTGAAAGTGACAGCTTGGCCGGCGCGAGGGCTCGACAGAATACTTTTCCACCTCCAAGAGACCCTATAACATAGAAAAATGAGCCGTATTACCGCAGTTCTGGTAGCGGTGCTGGCAATCATGAGGGTGGTGGTAACGGGCTGGTGCAGGTTCAATGGTAATATGTAGTGCAGTATCCGCATGGGTTTCACTTTTCTTCCCCTTTCTTCCCTTTTCTTCGTTTGATGGTTTTGGTTTCCTTAGGCTTTTAATGAGCTTCTGAGACCCCTCTGAACCATTCTGCTGCACATTTAACTTAACAAAATGAATAAAACCGGCATGAACTTACTATATATGAAATAGAATACGTTTATGGTACCGGTTAAAACTCTCAGTGTCCTAAAAACTCTCTTTTGTCTATTACCATCATGATCAATCGTATTAAAAAAATTATATATATCCAATAAGAAACCGCTAAAATTTAAAAAAAAAACAAAGAAAACTCATTAGAAAAAAAAGGAATTTGAAAAACCAGGAATACTGAAAAAATCAAAAAAACTTTCTGAAAAAAATCGAAAATGAAAGAAGACCAGGGAAACTAACCAGGGCACATACCGAGCTATAAATTCAGAAAAATCTCGTTTTTGGCAGAAAGGTAGAACAACTACGTAGAATGTTTAAAAAAATTATTTCATGTGCCACGGCCAAGGGGCGTGGCCAAAACAAAATTTAAAATTAAATCCTACACTATGCTGTAGCCTATAGGTAATGCACCCTGTCATACGGTAAACCTTTCAACGATTTTCTTTAATTTGTGTATAAAGAAGCTATTTGAGTACTGTATTATTTGTAAGTTATAGCACACAGAAGTATTCCCGATTCAGCCGCTTGCGAAACGGGTTTGTAAATGGTGTGCAACGCATGCTTTAACTTGTTTCGCATGTCGGTACGCACGTGTTACCTACCGAGTAGATTTTGTCACTAGGTAACAAATTGCTGGCACAAATTAAAGTAAAGAGCAGTGGAAACCGATCCAGAATCTGAACTACAATATGCAGAAAGGTAAACAGCTATTACAATAAGCGAGCAGCACAGATAAACATATTTTAAATCAGTAAGCTGCCTTCGTACTGATTGTCCAGTATTATTAAGTCTTTGATATAGTGTACATGAGAAGCATTTCCTATAGGCTATATCACAGTGTAGAATTTATTTCTGAATTTTGTTTTGGTCACGCCCTATTGACCATGGCATATGAAATAATTTTTTAAGCATCCTACATAGTTGCTCTACCTTTCTGCAAAAAATAAGATTTTTCTGAATTTATAGCCTCGGTATGTGCCCTGGTAAGATATCCAGCAAACCAAAGAAGCCTGAAAAGCCTAATAAAGCTAAGAAATCTTAAAAAACTAGGAAGACTACGAGTAAGCAAATAAGAAACGTATACAGTGCTCGCGCCAGTACCACTTAAGTGACCACTACTAACCCATTTGCCACCATAGCACCACTACGTTTACCTGCCTTACTACTACCTGCATTAGTACCAAAGACAAACACTGCTACCACAACCATTACCAGAACCATTACCATGACAATAGCTAGAATCACCCTTTGCACTTTACGATGCAGCTACCGATATTCGATCGTGCAGAACACGATAGCAAATCAACAAAAGTGTAACGCGCTGGTGCTCATCAGCCGAACTGGTAAACAAAAGTGATCGTGTATTGGGCGATCAAGCACCTGCACCGTAAAGTACAAGTGACCCACGGATGAAGGAAATTGAATACCGCTGCAAAGACACTTGTGCTATCCGGTCAAGGTCCAACAGAATTTCAAGGATTATAATGTTCGGTAGGTCTGTTAACGACGGGATGGTAATCTCTTGACGAAGTAAGGATACTGGCCATTCTGGAAAACATTAATCAACTCCGAATTCTATACGTACACTGCCGTACAGTAAGTCTAGAAGGCAGTTGAAGTGTGCTGATACCAAATGCGTGTCCACCCTTGCGAACTTTCGTTTTCGCGTTACTCCAAAGCACTTACCACTAAGAATCTGGTATTTCGTCAAATTTCACAATTAACTTCAAAAAGTTTAACATTTTGCAGTAACTCAAAATATAAAAAAAAAGACATTCTGGAACTCTGATTATGAATGTGTGCGAGTCTGTGCGACTGTCAAACATTACTAGTATAGAAGGTCGTAACCGCCCTTAGTGCAAGCGAGCGAGCGTGTAAATTTTTTTGTTGTTAAAGACTTGGCAGGGTGAGACAACAACCTAACCAAGTAGTTGAGAGTCTACCTAGCTTTTTGTATCTTTTGCATATGCCGAGTTATCTACAGATCTGCTCAGATATCAGTTTGTTTTCGCCACCGCTGCGATGCCGACGCGATACCATCATTTTTATAAGGTTTTACGGAATCACGCTGACACGGTATATTAATTTTAAAACGATTCCTTCAGCAACTACAGCGCGGGCACTGCTAATGCTTTACCGCACATGGCCGCCTATTCCGCTTGTTCTCCGCCGCACCAAATTCTTTACATTGGGATACTGGTCTTATTTCTTCAGTTTCTTATTCCCAGTATCGATATCTCATTCCCAAAACCGATAAGACTTATGCCGGTCACCGCCAGAGCCAATTCAGTAGCTACGCTCAGCTTGTCCGTTTATACAGCCTGGGAAGCTTTCGAGCCCGTTTAAACACCCCCGCCCCGGCCATCTTCAGTTCAGATAAATCATTTTCACGATTGAAATTCGAAAACCACCGCTTGCAAAGGCAAAAACGATGAATTACTTACTGGAGAGATTTTTGAAAAGCACCTGCAATTTAGAGCAATTTTTTTTGCTGCGGATGCATTTGCACAACGATTTACAAAAGAAGACGCGAATGAAGATGGAACCGCACTGGTTCTGAAGCGCACCGGTGTAGATTTCAAATTTCTGTGTCCAATAATTTTCCACTAATTTGCTGCGGAAACGATTTATCGTTTCAGTATTTTATTCAGTGCTTAGTGGCAATAATCCAGGAATGGGAGTTTTACAAATTTTTCTTTTTCCGTGAAAAGTGACTATTAAATGCGACGCTTTCTGTAATAATAAAATCCCTTGACATGGATCTTTATTATTTTTTCTCAGTAAAGAAACAAAGATGTTTATCAATTAGGTTTATCTCATTAATTTTCAAAATAAACTGATATGCAATTCTATAAATGAGCTCATGTTAGAAGTTGAAAATTAATGGTGTAGCACAAAATGAGAAACTTTGATCAATCACTCAAAAAATTCCCATTTTATTTGCAAGAATTCTTTCTTTTCGCTTTCTTTCAGCCTTTGTTTTAAAAAAAAAACAAGATTTTAAAGATGACTCTATCAAAGTTCAAATTTGAAAAAAGTCGTTACGTTCTACTTGCAGCTTTGCTCGCTTCGCAACGCTTAGTCTCTCTCGCGCTTACTTTTGCCGCTAGGCGTCGCTTCGGCCCCGCTTCCGATTTCTTTAGAAACAGTTACTCGCTACTGTACAGTATCATCACGAAAATTAAACATTTAAACTGTACCGTAGACAAAACCGTTTCCGAAGCAAGTGATCAGACCTGTGCAGTTAATTTTAACTATTTAACTTAACGCGAGTTATTTTCGAGCTACTGAGTTATAACTTAACTCTTTAGCGTAACTGACTCAGAAGAAAACTTAACTCTAACTTAACTCTCTTGAAAATATTATATAATGTCTATGGTAGCGTAACTCGTGGTGTAACTCGAAACTCGGTTTTCCTGCACAAATAACTTAACTCTAGGCGTAACTCGCACGCTCCCTGTAACTCTTAACTCTAACTGTGGGTCAGTTTTCTATAACTGCCCAGGTCTGCAAAGGATATAATAATCCTTTGGTTTTCCTTGCTGCTCCGCTCGCTGCGCTGCGCTTGCTCACGCCGCAGCTCGGCGTCGCCTTCGGCTCCGCCTTCGATTTCCGTAGAAACGGTTATTCGCCTCTGTACCATCGCTATAATGGAACGTTCGAAATACACCATAAAAAATGTTTTTGGAAGAAAGAAGAATCGAGCCGTTTGGTTTCACTTGTTGCTCCGCTCTCTACGCTGCGCTTGCTAAGGCCGCTGCTCGGCCATTAGCTACGCTTTCAGTTTCAACAGCAAGGGTGACGGCACCCTTTGACGGATTAACAGTATAGCGTATCAGGGTAACCGTCGAAACGGTTATCTGTTACGCTAGCAAAAAATCGTTACAACAATTTTGTAATGGTACTCCGTTGCGAATAGTGGTTGCCTGTTACAATGCACGGTAATCCGCGGCCACTGCAAATGTACTGCGGATACGGTAGCGGTAAAGACTGAACCGCTACGGTAACAGCGATAAATAACTTTTAACGGTTACGATGTCAGCTACAGTGTTTAGGTAATGATAATATAAATCCGTTACGCTAACTCTTATACTGAAAATGTACCGAGAGGGCCGGATAAAATTTCCGGACATGGTCCTAAATATCTGACGCCCTATTTGTATGTACGGAAGGTTCGACAAAACTGTCCCGGTGGCTTCCCGCATTTCGGTTCCTCAAAAACGATCCACCCAGGCCGCGCAAAATTCCCGGACCGGGTTCTAAAAAACGGACCCACTATACTATATATAAGGCGGGTTCGTGAAAAATGCCCCGGTGGTTCCCCGCATGTCGGTTCCCCAAAAACGCACCAACCGGAGCGAACAAAATTCCCGGACCGGGTTCTAAAAAACGGGCCCTCCATACTACATGAATGGCGGGTTCGTGAAAAATGCCCCGGTGGTTTCCTGCATGTCGGTTCCCCAAAAACGAACCAACCGGGGCTGGCAAAATTACCGGACCGGGTCCAAAAAAAAGGGCCCTCCATACTATATGTATGGCGGGTTCGTGACAAATGCCCCGGTGGTTCCCCGCATGTCGGTTCCCCAAAAACGCACCAACCGGGGCGGGCAAAATTCCCGAACCGGGTTCTAAAAAACGGACCCACCATACTATATGTACGGCGGGTTCGTGAAAAATGCCGGGGTGGTTCCCCGCATGTCGGTTCCACAAAAACGCAACAACTGGGGCGGGCAAAATTCCCGGACTGGGTTCTAAAGAACGGGCCCTCCATACAATATGTACGGCGGGTTCGTGAAAAATGCCCCGGTGGTTCCCCGGATGTCGGTTCCCCAGAAACGCACCAACCGGGGCGGGCAAAATTCCCGGACCGGGTTGTAAAAAACGGACCTACCATACTATATGTACGGCGGGTTCGTGAAAAATGCCCCGGTGGTTCCCCGCATGTCGGTCCCTCAAAAACGCTTCACCCGGGCCGGTGTGTATGAGTGTACCGGGTCCAAATTTACGATCTCCAATGCATTTACTGCACCAGGTCCGTCTAAAATAACCCGGTTAGTTTTTCGATTTTTTTACTACCTTCTCAACTGCTTCAGCGGGGGGCTGCGCCCCCCGCACCCCTTGCTTATTGGGGCTCCGCCCCAAACCCCGGCCAGGGGCTTCGCCCCTGGAACCCGAGGACCCAGCTCTCCGCATGTCGCACCGCAGATTAAAAACGCTCGCTCGCTTCGCTCGCTCGCTTGATTACGTCTAAATGCGAAATTCGAAGAATATAGACCATAATGAGACTTTTGGTGTACTATCAAAAGTTTCGAGTCCTTAACATTTTTCCATCCACAACGCAAAACCGGTCGATGTTACGTGCACGAACGTTTTTTCGCACCAAAACAGACAAATCATTGGCCACAGGGTGCAATAAAACAATAAAAAAATGTTGGGAAGTGTGCAGAACTGCAAGTTCGCTTGCCTTTACATGCATTAGGCACGAGGCAAGGGCTGCCTGTTGTAAACCACCATTAAGGGAAAAACGAGTTGGTGTTATCCTCAGTTCACCGTTTACCAAACCTTCGTACGCCACGGGAACTAAATAGATTGTAGTCGCACGCACAAAAAGGCTTACGATATACGGTACGAAACAGGTGGGCTGCAAGTCTGCAACAGACAGCCTTTGCCTCGTACTTCTCTTCAGAAGCACTAACACACCTGTAATTCTTGTGGACTGCCGCTGCTGCCCATTCGGCTTGGTGAGGTCGCTCGGATTGTGGGATGCCAACCAGTTAGGGAAATACCACAACCGTTGGAAGGTCCTGGCGAACCATGTCTCAAGAAAATCCGGAGAGCCTGTGAAAAACGGTGACTTAGCAAAATGTCACCAATGCGTGCGATTAAAAAACACGATATGCGTTTTCTTTCTACTCTGTATAGAAGTATACTATAAACAGAGTAGACATATAATTCCGGCAGTACTCGTACATATTCTGCCGGATGTGTATTTCTCAAGGAAAATCAACCTCCGACAGTACAGTATATATTCTGCCGGAGACAGATTTGGTTCGTAATCCGTATCGTGTAGATCTGACCACCACGATGTTGTGTACAACGGAATGTGTGTCGTGTCGCACCGGCAACCGCCTTGCCCACACCGTACGTATTGTGTATCCTTAGTGCCCAAGCGGTGGAATTCCCACCTACCCCTCAAATTTTAAACTACTGCAGCAAAAATGTTGAAAAAAATAGTTAAGTTGATTATATTGTTGTTATTCTATGGTATGAGTTTCCGCTTCGACAAAAAATTTCTTGATACCATTGCCATGTTAAAACAAAGATTACTACATAGCGCGCAAACTTCTACGGTTCTGACTTCTACCTACTCTTATGTCGAAGTATATCGAATAACTTCCATTTTGATTAATAATTCTGACGGTTATAACCGGACAGGCGGACACTGTTGCTTTGGAGTTGGATGCGGCTACAAAAACTTGTACTATTTAATGCCAAGAGTAGTTTTAATAAAAATTTGAAGCCTCTGTAAGAATGCAGTTGCAGGCAGGAGTACGTACTGTCGTACCTAACTGCATCGCAGTAAGATCAACTCCTTTTACCGCAGATGCCCAATGTGTTTGCATGTAACTAAAAGTTCCAGGAAAGCTGTGAAATATTTTAAATTTTAGGGTGTCGAACCTTCGTAACGAATTCGTTGCGCCAGAAGATCACTGCGACACTTCGGAAGCGCTTTTATATCTGCGTGTAGATATCGATGATCGTAACAGTGGAATATCAGGCGATGAAACTTTATGGCCAATCGTCGAGTAATCTTCCGGCACAGTACGGTGATGCCCATAGTGTCCGCTGACACAAGTAAGGTATCAGTGCTGCGCAGCCAACATAATTTTAGTTTCGTATCGATGTCATCAAGGGCGCACGCAATCGGCGTATCCGGAAACGGACAAGAATCTTTCGGACAACGTCGGTGTGGCAGTGTAATCTTGTGGTACGTGACTTTTGTGGCCGTCTGCCAGGGCCGTTGTGCTCGGATTCGTACGGCACCGGCATGCGAGGATGGGCAGCAACCTTTCACAGCAGCCAAGGTGGGCGATGTGCCGGAGGGTATTTGCACGAGAGCACACGGCTCGGCAGGATCCTGGTGCAGTGTGTCACTTTCGTCAGGTATCCATTCGAGAAAGGTGGCTTTCGTCCACGTCAACGGTTTGTCTCTAACATAACAACCGTTTTTCTTGCAGTTAGTGATAAATGATACGAACATTCACAACTGGCATATATATCACTGTCGTAAGTAAAACAGACACAGGAAAACCAGGACTGCAGCCGAATTTGATGCCAACGACCGCATAAAGAAACAATTACTTTTAAGCGCTAACTCGCAACACTGTTCTGTAGACTGCCGACTCTCTAAATCTGAGAGATCTGACTCCTTTTTATCTCCGAAAACATTAAAGTGTGAATTTTATTACTAGGCCTGGGTACAATCCTTTATCCAGTCCGTCTAAGTCGTCGTGTGCTTTTTTTGGCGTCGAAACGCAGTGTTGGTATAATTACTCTATATCTTTACTTGTAAGCATTTTAAACATTTTGTCGCCGTTGTATGCTTTTACAGACAGCAGCATATTTGATTCCACGATTATATGTTTACCTTAGGTTATCTGCGCGCATCGACATTTTGGTAGAATTTAAAGAGAAAACAATCGCTGTTTAAAGCGGCTAAAATTGTAACTGGCTATTTTATGTGTTTTATTAACTTCGATATTCGATGAAACGCTCCTGACAAATCTCGATTTTTTTCTCTTTTCGGTCTCTTTACGTATACGTTCTCGTAAAATGGTCAACAGTCAACTACACATCTTATTTTCAAAAACAAAGAAGTTCTCAGAAATGACCGATTTTTTAATAAAAAAGAAAGAAAATTTGCTGATGAAATCCAGCTAGTAAACTGAAATGCAGATCGTCCACAGGTTTTCATAATATGAAAACATGTTGAGGATCTGCATTTCATTATCTTATATATTATAAGAACTGTTAAGGTTAAGGTAGTATTGCTGTTTATAAAAGGTTTTGCCGTATAGCATTTACAAGGTGTGTTGGTTCATCGATCAGAGCTGCGCTCCGGTCTGCCAATTAACCATCGATGCATTTTCCTAGTGTACAGTATTATAAGAACAAACTGGTTGCACAAAAAACTGACTTAATGTGCATACTCGTACTGTATAAGCTTACGCGATCGGTGGTTACTCAACCATTTAATGGAAAAGTGCATGCAAAGTGGCAAAAATATGAGAAAAATTCAAAAAATATAATTACGTACTTAACAACAATTTTTGCGGGCAGTTAGTATCAGTGTATTACGGTATGTGTATACTACCTATACACCTACCCAGCGTGACGGATAAGAATTTCCACCTCGGCGTTCGTGGAAGGCTCTTGGAAATGATAGCAATACTCGGCAATTCGGTTAACTGGCAATGTACGGATCTGTGAGAATGGAAAGACTGCGGTGGATTCCCCTTCATGATGGAAGTCGATGACAAGTCCGTTCTCGACGGCATCAACAACAAATCCTCGTAACACTGCGTCGCCCTCCACGACATCCACCACGAATCTGTCATAGAAGACCGAAAAATATAAGTTGTCATGCGCAGTCTTGCGCAAGTATGAAGGCATGATTTGGTTTGTGGGAGTCTTATTGTTTTCGCAGACACATCGCCGGTAAAACTTGGACTATTATTTCGTGCGACACTTCAACGTGAACCCCTATAACAGCTTAAAATGCGCAGGAATACCGGATCGATCGCTACAATGTTCTTTCTCTACGAGTTAGAAGCCTGGCACACAACATTCTGTATTAATGCTATCCAGCGCTTTGTGCATCGGTTAGTGTGTCACCGATCAAGCTTGGCTTTCTGTACAACGAGACTGCAGCGCCGGAATCGATAGTCTCCCAAACAGTAATATGTAAGCCAAGTGCGTACGGCCCGGTCAGTTCGGAAGCTCTATCGTGCTTAATACCGACTGTGGTTAAGCTGCTCCTATTACCTCCTTCAAGGACAATGGACGACCTGCCATTCATAGTCGCCATAAGCTCCTTAGACAAATGCACTAGAATAGACCAAACCAAGAAACTACCGTCTGACTGGGTCACGTAGCCCCACCATCTCCGCCGGAATCGCAGACCAGCCTCCTTTGATAGTTTATGACTTTATGTAATACTAATTGACCCCGCGCAAATTGCGCGGAAAAATAGGCTAAATAATTAAGGTTATAAGTTTTTCCCGCGCTAAGTTTACTAATAATGCCTAAATCAACCCCAAAACTATTCTATTATAACCCGGTTTTAAAATCGTTTATTATTAAATCTGCTCCTGTACAAAATATGCGTTTGATTACCGGCGTTATTTAATTTTTAACCTTTAAATTGTTTTTCACTTCACGTCTATGTAATTTACAGAATAAGAACCCGAAAATAATGAAAGTAGAGCTGATTTATGACTTGCGGTGATTTTCGGCTTGTTGTTTTTGTTGTAGACTTTTAAAATGGTTTGTTTACCTACTTGCACTTCAGTTTCAGCTATTACCAAGAAAATTCAAACTTTTCAGAACCCTTATGCAGCGACTCGCTTGCTGCTCCGCGAGCTCCGCTCGCGCCGCAACTTGGCGTCGCTTTCGGCTCTGCCTTCGACTGATAGAGATCCTTTAAGTAATTCTAGCCGCTACTAAAAATTAGGTATGTACAATCAATCGATTTTAATAAACATTAAGTAAACAATTGCAGAGCACTTACAATAATAATATAACCAGCGGCGTGACCCAGAGTTGCCCAATTTCTGAGTTTCCCATCCCCATTCCCCTTTCCATTTTTTTCTCTCCCTTTTCCCCCATTTTCCGCCCATTTTTTAACAGCTATTACCATTTCTGCTTTGAAACATACAGAAAGCCAATTCCCACTTCCGTTTTACTATTTTTGCAACTGCACACCAGAAACGTAAATAGAAATTACATTGGTTATTTTTCGCGCGAAGCTGACAAAATTACAAACTTCAGAAATTCCATTAAAAATAAATTGAAATTAGAATATTTATTTACATTTTATTTTCGACAGACTGTTTCCGTCAATTAAAATATTCCGCAGTTGGAAAATTTTATTTTTGCGGCTTCCCATTTCCGCCCTTTTGGCCTTTTCCCATTTTTGCCCATCTTGCAAATTTTCCCATCCATTTCCATCTATAAATTAAAAATTCCCATCCATACCATTCATTCAAATTAAATGGGAAATGGGGAAAAAATGGGGCCCATTTCCATTCGAAAACGGAAATGGGGCAACTCTGAATTTATTAACCGCACAGTACGCACATTATACATAGAACAAAAAGGGTTTTCGGTTTGCAAAATAGTGTGAAAAATTGCCAATATAAAGTATGTGGTGCCTTGACTGCCCGTGTTCACCACACTTCGTAGAATAATAATGTCTTCCCATTCTCATGACAGTACGTACTGCGCCAGCCCATGGTTGGGTTGTTACGTTCACATTGCGCATCCCGGTTCGGGAGCCAGCTACGTAACCCGTAGCTAGTTGTGAAACGATTTCTCTTTTCTCTGATTGGTTGCCGCAGTGTTCCGTAGACTTTGCATAGTAAGGTTTTCCAAATTTTCTTCGGAAACATTTGTTTTTCCAAATTAAATGCATATTGTACACTTCTACCAAATAAGGGCTATTAAACGATATATAGAGAGTAGGGATTGGCCCAGTACATCGTTCGTAGTAGGAGCGCAAACACACTGGCCACACCCCCTCTTAATCTTTTATTATTAAGGATTCCAGACATAATTGCTGATGCAAGTCAGGTGATTGTCAAGTCGCGATGGCTGCAAGAGTGATACAATACAATGTGGCGAAACCGATGCAACCTTTAAAAAAATTAGAAATGAACCATGATAGTGATACAGCATGATTTGGACAACTTTCTGTTCATCCCATTCATTCCAAGGTATGGTCTTTTAAGTTGAGGTCATAAGAGTACGAGTACGTACACATCGTA